ATGCCATGGGGTCCAGTTTCCCTAACGCTGTCTACCCGTGACCTGACTGCAGCCTGCTCTGAACCTGAAGGGATTCAGTTACTGTCTCCACTTTGTCCCATTTACCCAGGGGAGGTGACGGGCCCATAAAGGAGCTGAGGATGGGGGTAACAGTTGTTCACCAAAAGGGGTAGAAATGGTTGTGCAAAGTGTATTACAAATAGACGCTCCAGAGGAGGCGTCTGTTTCCGAATGGATGTGCAGGTTGTACAGATGTTGAGATCCGTGTCGATTTTTCGATGGAAATCTGCAGGCTTTGTCGCGTGGAGTGTGTTTTTGCTTTTTTTTTATTTTGAAACTAGGCCTGAAGACTGTAATTTTGGATGTTTTTCTTTTATGCTTTAAATCAAGACTTAGGTTTGCTTACAGACGGTTCCTTTGTTGACAAAGTAAATTTGAGTTTCAGTGTTTCATATGTGCAAAATAAGGATGAAAATTTGTCAAAATGTATCTTAATGTGACAAAATGAAGGTTGTCAGATTACTCCGTGATATTCACCAGTGAGAAATAGTTTTTGGACAGTTGTTAAATTGTCTCTGCTCAGTTTAGCTGTTTGATAATCTCGTCGAAGGCAACATCCTGTAGAGCACTTAAGACAACACGTCTCTGCTGCCTGTGGCAAAGAGAAACGAAAAGGCTTTGTGCTTCTGCAGAGCTTGTGGTAGGAATCTTCTCTTTGGTTCTATTGATTTGATGGAGGTAGACATATAAATGAAGAAAAGCAACATCAAAGAAGGATTTCCATCAGCCTGTTTCTTCCATAGGAATGACTTCTTATTTAGTGCGTAGATCACTTCAAACTGGCCTTTCACAGGGGTAGAGCGGGGCGTGCAGACCGCGGGACGCGACGGCAGGATGGCTCCGTGCATCCCTTGGTCCCGCTCCTTGGAAGGCTCCGGGGCAGAGCATTCCTGGCCTTTCTGGACTGCCCGTTGTCCCCCCGGCCGCGCTCCCGCTGCCGGCAGTTTTCCTTAGGATCTGCACATTGCTCCATATTTGTTCTGCAGTTACGTGTGTGCAGTGTTGTAATACAGCAAAGCTCAGGGCGCAGAAGCGATGCGTCAAAGTTAATGGCATAAGTTGAAAAGTACTTTCTGTTTTTCTCTGCTCTTGGATGTTTGGAACAGATGTTTTTAGGGAAGCATAAATAATTCAGGATTCCTGCAGTAAAGCATTTCTTTGATGCTTTGATGATACATGTGTGTGTTTGCCTCCAGCCACAGTGAGCCAAGGCACTGGAGCTTCTCCTTGCTTCTCAGTGACAGGATACAGCTTCAGGAAGATCCTGTGTTAGCTGGGGAAAGCCCCAACCCAGGTACACAGGCTTACACCACATGCATTAAATACATCGATGTTGTATGTTGAGCTATTTTATTTGACTACTGGATTTATTTATACACTGACATTCTCTGTTACAAAACTGGTGATCTTCATCTGGACAGGGGAGCTGCTTCGGAGACTCCCACGGCTCAAAGCAGAATCAAAACGGGTTGTTAGAGGGGAAAGAGGTTGAGTTTTTACTTCTTTCTACACAGCTGGGGCTCACTGAAGACTAACAGTCTGGACACCAGTGTGCAATGAGAAAAGTTGCTTTCTCAAGATTTCTTGGCAGATCAGGAAAAAGGCTCAGGTTTTCAAATACACTCGCAAGTCCTTCAGGGGCTGTCTGAAACCTTTGCTGTAAGTCTTTGCAGTCCAGGCTGGGGACCGACCTTGTGGAGAGCAGCTCTGCAGAGAGGGACCTGGGTGTCCTGGTGGACAACAAGTTGCCCATGAGGCAGCAGTTGCCCTCGTGGCCAAGAAGGCCAATGGGATCCTGGGGTGCATTAAGAAGAGC